AAAATCGTAACATCGCCTTATACAAAGAGTTCATTCATTGATCATTCATCATTCACACGATGTCAACGTCTTGGTGATGACATTCAGAGGGTTGTTTGACGGGAACGTCATTTTTGACGGCGTTCGAACCTTCTACTCCATTAAGCAAGCTTTATTTCCCGGCCCATCTGGAAAGATCTCGTGAAAGATTCCCAATGATTTGATAAATGCATGATTATGCTGGCGATACTGTGAATGATAAAGGAATGGTGGAAGAAGAGACGTGAGGCGTGGGAGAAACTCAGCTCTCAGTGAACTGCTTTGTTCAACACAAATTCTTTGTGAGATGACTGGGATTTGAATACTGGCAGTGTACAGAACGCCTCTGCTCTATGTACGTAAGAATTGTGAATGTTCTACGTGATGAAAGAATTAAATTGAATTAATGCCTTATTTCTTTCGTCTGACCACGCAAATTTCGCTACGCTCCTTTCACCAACTAGCAGAGAAAGGAGGTATTTCTTGGGCGAGAAACAGGCGATTTCAATTTGGCACAGAGGCGTCATTTAGGCATGAGGATCTTTTACATGCAAGTAAATCCACTAACATGGGACAGCCGGCTTTACTTCCCCTCCTTGGGTCCAACAGTCCGGTATGCTAACCGTTACACCATCGCCGCGCGCAAACCACGCGCAAAGTAAGAGGTGATCTTGAATCTTCAAGCACGATCGCCTTTTTTCAAAAGAAACATCATTATTCTTAAAAACGTCAAAATAACCATTACTTCATTTTCCTCCTACCCCTCTCTCTCGTTCTATCTCTTTCTGTCTCGTTCTCTCTCTCTCTCTCTCTCTCTCTCTCTCTCTCTCTCTCTCTCTCTCTCTCTCTCTCTCTTTCGCTCTTTTATCTCTATCTCTCACGTCCTGTAATCTGTAACTCACATCCTGAGATCTACTTGTTTGTATCTATGGAATACTTTACGCATTCAAAACTTCGTGAATCCTCAGCGAATTCTCTTCTTTCACGGTCCCTCAAAAGTTTCGTCGCTCCTAAGATTTTCGTGCCCAAAGCACATAAAAATATCAAGATATTCACAATTGAGGGCACAATGTTTCCCAGCGAATTTAATTTAATAATGGACATGAGCAAATGCTTCCGCTGAAGCAGTACCATTGCAGTAACCCTGGCGACGCAAGCCTTGCGACAACGGCCTCGAACTGAACCGACCCGCCTCTCTCTGCCTCCCGAGCGCCGCTGTCCGCTCTCACGGAACGCATGCATAGCGCCGGCCACGAGACGGGCAACGAGACGCGCCCCAAGCGGTCGAGGAACAAAGCAAAAAAAAAGAGGAGGAAAAGAGAATAAATAAAGGAAGGCGGTGTAGGTAGTAGCTTGTCATGTAAGATGAAGATAACTGCCATCAAGATATTCCAGTTCAATTGCCAAAATGATGTCATATATCTAATACCAATATGATCACATGTAGGAGAATTGTCCAAGTTCAGAAAAAGAATTCCCGCGAAGACCCTTCTTGACAGTTCATCAGCAATTCGGCGTCAAAGAGCTTACAAAATCCAGGAAGAGAAGCAGTATGTAATTGGTACCGTATCGCGCCGAAAGTAATTTGCACTGATTAAGAATTTTATGCTTTAGAGCAAACGGCAAAATGTGTCACTGTTGACGATATTTATTGAGAAATATAAGTAAAATTCAGTCCATACCCAAGAGAAAGGCTCATTATGTATTCAAAAGAAATTACATAGACTTCTACTTAGAAAATTAAATATTGAAGGGATTCGAAGAACGAATTTATGTAAATAATCTTTCAACTACTCCTTCCATTTTGTTTCATGATATCCGCGCGTATCACATACAGTATTTTTAAACAATCTGAGAAGAAAATAGAAAATACAGCACACTTTCTATCTACAACAGCGATTGTGCCGTATACGAGATCCTCTGGCTGTTATTATGGGACGGAACCGCCACTTCCACGCCATGTCAACCCACCTAATGCAAGCTCGTCGCGCTTCGGAGCGCAGCTCCTGCTGCTGGTTAAAGAGAAGCGACCGACGCCGGAGTCGAGGACCCGCGGCCGCTCAGCATGCTGCACACGCGCCTCCACAGACACACGCACACCGCACGCACGCGGCGCCGCCGCTGGTCAACAACGGAGGAAGCGCATCTGAAGGTCACGGCGCAGAACGAACCACTCCCAGGCCCCGCCCCTCGCATTTGAACCCTGCCCGGCTGGATTGAGATGGAACGACCACGAATGACACTGATGGTACTGACACTAATATGTGATGACATACGAACTACCTTTAGGTTGCGAATTGTTGGCGGAGGCGATGCCGGCCCATCCTTTGGTTTTATCTGTATATTGTTTTAAAAAATGGTTTGATCAATTGTACGTGTTTGTGCAATTTACTGATTTTTTATATCCAATTTAGATTAATATTGTAATCTTTACTTAAAATATTTAATCTGATATTTTAATAAGACAATCCATACATGAACAATTTTTTGTAGCCATGATTTCCATTTCATGTGCATTTTGACAGAGCAAGTTGTGATCACTTGCGGAATCCCTATCGATGTCCCAGGAAACCGTAGGGTTACGCGGAATCCAGGTTGAAGAGCCCTGACTTAGAGAGTTGGATGGCCAGACAATAATAAATTTGTCTCTGGCATGGATTGATCCAGTCCGTGAACAATATCTAGGTGCCTCGTTTACGATTTTCACACTTTGAAATGTTCAAATCAAACAATTCGGAAAAGAAAATATTGGGTTGGTAAATTTGAGAATGTATATTGGCTCAGTTGATTTTGGCTTCGAGTCTACTTTCAAGGTAAAAGAAGTTACATAAATGTGTACATATTATTCAACAAGTTTATAGATGATAAAAAATGAAAACGCTGGTTTCTGCCATGACATCTCTAATTGTTCAGTTGTTCTCTTTCCTCCAATGGAGAAAATTTCCTTTTCGCAACCTGATTACTTTTCTATGAAATACTGGCACACATAAACTTCTAGATCTCGTAAATAGAATAGGGAGATGTGTCTCAGTTAATAAACAATTAGTGAAACGCAGGTTTTTTCTACGTAGCTAATAATTTAATAGCATTAGAATCTTTAGTTCTTTTGATTGCGAAGCGATTATCATCAGAGCTGAAAGTTTACAAAGTTACCCTGTTATGTACAAAAAATATGTCAAAATTCCTCAAAAAAGATGTCAAAAATACTTCTCAGTTACTTTTATCGTCAGACCAGACACAACCCAGAAATATGGAATAACAATAGCGTCACTAAGTGTATCTTTTCAAACAGAATCTTTGTTTCGTAGTTCCCTAAAAACATCGAGGCATTTCATCCCATCTGCAGAGAAAGTTATTCAATCGTAGGAAAAGTCTTATTACAGTGCACAAAAAGTCTTATTCCACGTCTCTCATCAGTTGATCTTCACAGTAAACTGGTTTTCCCATGTCAACTGAACACCTGGCAATTATATCGTAACAAACGTGCGACTTCTTACGCCACTTTGAGAGGAAGGTCTGCTGGGAGGGATCTTCCGCTTCTCGAGCCTCGTGATACTTCAGTGGAACATATTTCTGACAACAGAAGACAAAAGAAAAGTATTTCCGGCTTCGAAGAATAAGAAGAAATTTATAGAATCTAATTGAAATAAAGAATCCTCTACCTTCATTTCTCGCATTTTTATTATTCTCAAACGCATCCGATTAATAATAGATTGGCACCTTAAAAAACCAATTTGATGAAATCATTTCGGTTAAACTCAGAGATTGAATATCTGCATGAAATATGAAAAAAATATTAAATTGTAGAAAAAAATATTAAATGTGAACAATGGGACATGTCAATATCATCGGTTAAGAATCGAAGAAACATTTTCAATCAAAATTGACACCTTTTACCTTTGGTTTACAAAAATATAAAGCAACTGTTTAGAAAATATAACATGTAGTATATATCAAAATAATTTACACTCACTAACTTTGACATATATTCCAATGTGGCCTAAGACTTTTTTGAGTAATATGTCCCACGCTATACGATATGTCACTAGCATGATTGCGATTTGCAGTACAAAAAAGGGGAAATAAAGAGTAATTTTAAAAACTTATTCAAATGACAAATGTTTGACAAAAGTAAATCGAACCACATCATTTATATAACTTGATTGACAGGATAAAAGTGAAAAATATTCATTGAAACTTTCAAAAAACATCATTACAACGCCATCTAAATAAATGTTCAGTGTAAAAGATATGAGCATGGAAAATTCTAAGATTGAAATATTTTCATTCTATGAGACCCTGGGCGTAGAATTAAACTTAATGTTTCCTCTTGATGCAGTACATTACACCTTGGTCAATGAACATATTGTCTTCAAGTTTCAAACTTTTCGATTCGATTAAATATATAGCATTTCCTTTTCCGAATGCAGTATTAGAAAGGCATAAGACGTATGTTTTAAATCTGTTGTTCAGTTTTTTGTGCATACTAGTAATACCAGAAAAAACACCACAAAATGCGTCTAAAAGACTGTGGGAAACACCACTTGTTCTTGTCTTGACTTCGTCCTCTACTGCATATCTAGTTCTCACGAACATCTAAGGTAAAAACGCTTGCGCGAAATTATTTTAAGCATTAAAATGTCACTACATAGGAGGTGAGGAAGAATGTGGTAATGCATGCAAGGGCTCATCTAAACCTTATTCCGCACAGGGCGGGTTCAGAAACTACCGAACAAATCACCAGTAAAATAAAAAATAATTATATAACATAAGAACTCTCCACAACTTATTTGACATGAAACAGGCCACAAGTGTTATATTGTGAATGCATATGTTGAATTCCGTCTTGACAGAAACATGATAAGACAATTGATAAAATTAATACTTCGCTTTTCCGATGGTATGGTGCCCCTGGAATCGTGCCATTTCGAGCAACCGCTTCATCTGCCAACCATAGACTCGCTATCGCACGCTTTGTTTACCTGGCGGCAGGCAGAGTCATCACGGTGCTCCGAGATCAGCAGACGAAGGAGGACGAGGGCGGCGGCAACGCTGCGGGGCGGCGGCGTCCACAGCAACAAGTGTCACTCCACGCGTCGCGGTCGGTAACCGAGGGCGCGGACGAGCGGGAGCCGTGGGGGGGCGCGGACGCGGACGGGTCGACCGGACGTGGCGGGCACCGACGCTCGAGTGGCGGCGGCCGGCGGCTCGCACCGCTCGGCAAGCCAGCGCGCGCGCGCGCTAGCGACCGAGCCGCCCTCCACGCAGGCAGCGCTCCTGGCGGGCGCTGGCGGCGGCGGCCAGGCAAGGCGAGGGCGCGTAAGGGCCCCGCCGAGCTGCCCTCGCCGAGGGGCACGTGGGGAGATGCGCAGCAAGCAATTGCTGATGTGGTGTGACAATCTATCACGTAAAATGAGGCGGAAACAAAACAAAAATTTCGTTTATCTCCGAATCAAACCGATAATATAATTTTCTATTTCGTTTCGTTTCGAAACGTAAATCTGTTGAAATGCTCAAGAAATCCACGACCGTTGCCATTGCAGCTCCTCAGACCGGCAAATCCTAGGGTTCGAGTGCCGACGTTGACTTTTCGACACTAGCTACAAATACAAGTGGAATTCAGCCTCTGTTTTTAAAATTCAACCGGCCGGCTACTCTGATATGTATAGTTTTCCCTAGTTTCTCAGATCTATACCAGGTGAATGCCGGAGTGATACTTAACAAATGGGTGCAATCATTCCTTCCCCATCCTTGTTCCTTCTTACTCCCCCGTACACTTACACCTACACTAATATGCTCCATATTACCACACTTGTCGAGACAGTAAACCGACGGTAGGTCGCCGCCGGACCTCACCATCCAGGAGGAGGACCACCGCCACCTCCTGGCAAAAAATATGATCAGCACATACGGGACGAATGACCTTAGCAGTTGACGGGCCTAGAATCACTAATCAATTAATAAATCAATCAATCGATACAGTAGTAGGGAGCTTAGATCTTGTTCCGGCCGGGGCGGTGCGCCGTCGGTGGAAATACCCGGAGGAGGGAAACACCGCTAGACGTATAGACCTCACGTTACAGCTTGGTAAGAACACCATCATTTCTCGGGATATAAGATGTACTTTATTTTCGAGACTAATTACCATAGAGTCAACGGGTATATTAATCAATGTAATTGAAACAAAAGAAGTTGGGTCGTCTTATTTTCAAAAAGAAAACAAAATAGAAAACCCCTTTTTCGATTCGTTTCAAAACTTCTCGAAATACCGTTATTAGTTTATCGCGTTTCGTATCACATTTTAATCATTTACAAAACAATGAAATAATTCACTGCTCTACAGTACGTTCGCGCGTATTTTATCCACTTACAGCGGGTTTTACCCACTTTTTGAGGGGTGGTCTCAAATTGTCTCATACGTGATCTGTTACGCTGCTTCAATGCGACAAAGAGACTAGAGTGTAGAGCTTACAATGTACGGAAAGTTTTGTGACAATTGTGTGACAACATTAATCTTCGATCTAGTCACATACAACTATGTGAAATATATCATATCAGTTAAAAATGTAATATCAGGTACTCATAAACTTTCATACCAGTTACAAATAAAAAATACAGAGCATATATCACAATCAATGATAATGGAAATGTACGCTCCAAAAATACAGTCAGAAATTACATTAAATTTAATGCTTAAATTAAAATGTAGATTTAATGTACGACTTACATGAAACGTAATGTACCTTGTACATTACAACGAGATTAATGTGTTTGCACATTAAATTTTATGGTTAAATTAAAATTCACGCAGATTTGATGTATAATTATGGAACATAGTTACTGTTTAAAAACTTGGAATTATTTTATTCCACAATTTTAACTAACGTATAATAAATTTAAAATGTAATTTTTATTTGAGCTTTATATTTTATTCTGTACAATAATTCATTAATATTAATTGAGTTGGCACAGTTTATTTCTTAGTTTTTGTATCTTTATTTCTTAATAAATATTAATTTTAGTTCTCTGGAGATGAGTTACTATTTTGTTAGCAACGCAAAAACATCAAATTTGCATTTCGTTTACGGATGGCGATGCAAATAAATTTTTTGTAACTAAGGAACGAAAATGTTTAGTTTTTTACTTAAACTCAAGACAACGTGGGCAAATGATCTCCCCCACACGTCACATACAGTTTTTACTAAATAAATAAATATTTCTTAGTACTTGTAGATCCTGTAGTTATTATTTTTCCTTTTGTTTGTACGTAATATATTTATTTCGTATCCATATGAGCGAAAAATAAATTTACAAGTTCTCTATAGTTTACTATGTATCAGATGAAGTTAATAGCTTATTTAGTAACCTAGTGACAAAATCTCGATCGTCATAATTAAAACCAATCCATTCTCTCTCACACCCTTTGCCTTCGCACTAGTGGATAATATTCCGAATCATTGCTGGAATCGTCTTCAAATGCTATCATTCGTAATCGTCGAACCGTAACAACACTTCGGAGGTACATGCACGTTGAAAACTGAATTTACTCCGTACTTTAACCGAAAGGATTTTCGCAGTGTAAAGTTACTCTTGAAAATACTCCCATGTAAGCGATTTACACTCGAGTAAGCTGTTGGTGAAACGCTCCAAGAAGTTACTGTGACGTCATGGATACTCACAGCGACCACAGACACAGAGCTTTCGTATAACAAATATATTTATTAACAAGAAAACAAAACAAATATATACACTTAATAATCTACTTACACCCTAGCTCTGATAGACCTACTATCCCCTGATCGCGGGAGCGATCCAAAACCCGATTGAAGATGGTTTTGATTGTGGCATTCGCTACTCTTACTTTTGAAGCGCGCACAAAGCCTAGCTTCCGTGACCGGATGTCACGCTGGGACACAAAGTCCGTTCTGGCGCACCAACGGCTGGTTTGCCTCGATCGCAGGAGCGATCTTATCCGATTGAGAATCGGCGTGAATCGTGGCACTCAACCACTCTTCACCTCGGAGCACGCACACAGCATCGCTCCCCCGTGACCGCAGTCACCCAAGGACATAAAGTCCGCAGGCTTCGTCAACTAATGACTCCAGCCTCGCGAGCCTGGCTCGCATATGCACCGTCTTGGCGCCAAGTTTTGTGCACACGCACGAGGTTCTCCCACCGTCTCCAGAACCTGCCTACTGGCACCGTACACTCTGTTATATAGGCGAGGCCCACGTGACCTCCTACGTCACGCCACCCCCTCGCTTGTTATAACAGTGAAAAGCTTCTATAAGCCGGAAGACACCCAAAGCCTTGTGTCTCCCGTCTCCGCGTTCTTCCCTTTACGGAAAAACCCTACTTCCTGTGGCGAGACTAATCCGCAACCAAGCGTCCCCAAATAGATGCCATGAGGCACGCTGGCTAATACGTTACATTACTCACGAGTAAACATGATTTACTCCAGAGTATCTCTTACTCTTTGTTTGGTGAAACCGACCCCTAGTTGTGTTGTTACGTGCTAGAATAACAGAAGTTTCTACACGCGTACTCGTACAGTAAACGTAATGTACACGTGCATTAAGTTTAATGTACGTGCGTACATTACATTTAATGTACACATAAACTAAATTTAATGCAGATGTGCTTTAACGTTACTGTACATGTACATTAAATTGAATGTGCGTACATGATAACTACTTTATGTACTTTTACAATTTAAGTAATGCAGACATTTCTGACAGTGGACTTTTCAACTGGGAACTCCGCTCGCAGGGAAATGTTCTATCAAATTCTACTAAATTCGGTAAGAACCTGAATTTAAGACTTAAATCGTGAAACATAGTATTGTTTAGTAACAGTTAAAATATACGAGTGAGTTTTTTTTCTCCACCATGTTTTATATTCTTTGTATGTTTCATTTGAGACAGGTATTATGTACTATTTCTGAGCCTAGACGAGGAAAGTTTCGACGAGAACGAACGAAAGACGAGAAAGTCCAACATTTTAACTATAAATAGTTCAAAGGTGAATGCAAGTTTAAAAAATAAAACTAATAATAATAATAATAATAATAATAATAATAATAATAATAATAAAATTTAGAAAAACGCGAGATCAGCAACAATTAAAAAACTAAAAATTTTCGTTCCCGAATAATAAAAATGAACAAAAGCTTAAAAATAAAGAAATAATAATAATGATAATAATAATAATAATAATTTTAAAAACGCGAGAATAGCAACATTTGGAAAACGACAGTTTCGTTCCAGAGTTATAGAAAACTTATTTGCATCGGTTAACGAACTACAGATTTGAGTTTTTTACATTGCTAACAAAATAGTAATTCACCCCTAGCTCTACTTCTCCCACAACAAGAAAAAGGAGAGCTCAGTAAAACGTGCGCGTAGTGAAGCTACGAATATAATATTTACCATTCATTGCGGCGGCGTTTTGGAGAATCGGTCATCAGCCTTTCAGTCATCATGAACTAGTTTATATCTTGTGACCCACCGATGCGCCGTTCTAAAAAGATAAATGTATTTTTGAAACTAGAAGTGCTACATAATGGCATATGTTTTTCCGTATTATTTGATCTCGACTAGCTACTCGGACTTTGCCACATACTCTTGCCAGCTGCCTTCTATCGCCACCCAAAGTACATATTTTTGACATTTCCTTAATTATTCGGTTTCATAATTGTAAAATCTCAAATTTTCGTCTCGAGCCACATGGGAAGGGGTTTCTTCGTTTTGGAAAAAATTCTACTATGGTTTAGGCGCTAGTAGTGTTCACAGACGGACAGACAGAATATTACTACGTATGTAGACAGGAAAGTAATAATGTTCAGATAAATTATATTTCATTAAAATAAAATTCACCCATATAATATAAACTAAATGCATATTTTAACTATAACAAAATCGGAAACGCTTAAATATAAGCAAAATATTTGATGAATATTTAAGCAACAAAATCAGTAGTTAGTTTAAATATTGCAAAATACCTGAAATCCTTTTCAATATTTAGCTGTCAATGAGAATCTAAGTTTCTTAGAACATTGTTTGTGTTAAATAATTATTAAACCA